GGATGGGAAAGGGGACAGTTGGACATCTACTGGCACTTGCTCAGTTCCTCTTACCTGCATTTATTTATTTATGATATATTTAATATGTTTTTATTGACCATTAGAGAGAGAGGAAGGGAGAGGGATAGAGAGAAACATGGATGAGAGAGAAGCATCATCCTTCGGCTGCCTCCTGCATGCCCCTGCAGGGGGTGGAGCCCGCAACTGGGCATGCGCCCTTGATCGGAATTGAACCAGCGACCTCCTGGCTTCTGGTCGACACTCAACCGCTGAGCCACACCGCCAGGCTTACCTGCATCTAATTTAACTTTCAAACTAACCCTCGAAGGAAGAATTATGCGGCTCCCTCTACAGATGAGGGAAGAGAGGCTCAAGGTCGCACAGGCCTGGGAGTGGGTCGCACCCAGGTCTGCACGCTGCAGAGTCTGCAGCCCTGGAACTCCACGGACTGAGTGAGGAGCCCCAGGCCCCGGCCTCCTGGCCTTGCTTATGAAGGAGCAGTGGGTGCCTCCCGCACCTTGCAGGCATCCAGGATAGAGGGGAGGACGGGACTCCCCGCCCCGTCACAGCCCCAGGGAACAGCAAACAACTGATGTGAAGCAGCTGTAAGTTTATCCCCCAAAAAGGACAGGGGTGGGAAAAATAAGTTGGCACCTTTGTTGCTCTTTGTTATTTCTTCGAAGTTTTAAATTTAAAAAATACTTTTTCTGAGGATGACAATTCTTATCAATGAGAGTACAAAACACTCCCAGAAGCATGAGAATGTTGTGGGGTTAGAAATTATGAACATGAAATATAATGAGTCTTACTGCATTAGTTTAAATTTAAAAAAAAAAAAGAAAGAAAGAAGAAGGGAGTTATTTGCTTGTGATAAATTTCAAGTATTAGGAAACGTGCTTTGGAGAGCTCTGGGAATTCACTGTTCCATTCCAGAATTCTGCTTAGGGTGGGTCCTTGGCAATATTCTAATCTTTAGAATCAACCCACAATTGAATAATAAGGATATTAGTAGAGAGGCTTTGAGTGACAACAGAATTTTTTAAGGTTAAACAGCTTCTGAGCCAAGAGTCTGAACCTAGAACTGCCCCCATTGTCTCCAGAGCCATGACATCAAGATTCTTGCTTTGCTCTCTAGTTCTTGTGCATTATCTCGCTTCCCACAAACCGATGGAACTTTCTGGAGGGCAGTGAGTATGCCTTTAATTTCTCCAAAATTCATTCCTTACAGGAACATTTACTGTGAGCTTAAGACAGGGTTTAACACCAGCTCTCATGCTGGCACTGCTGTGCAGGCAGCACTGCTGCCCTCCCCTTGCTAATAAGAACACAGACAGGAGGGAAGTGGCTACACTGAATCCATGACAGAGTAAAAACTAGTGTTAATCAGCAGCCCTGATTTCACCCTTGAGGCCCAAGGTTTATACTTAGAAATGTTGCCAATGTGCTTCCCTTTGGTAAAATGATTGTGGAGACAGGAAGCCTGCACCTGGGAGATGGGAGTGGCAAGCTTTATCGGCTACCTGTCTATGAATAAACTAGAGGCCCAATGCACGAAATCGTGCAAGGGGCTTGGCCCTCGGCTTGCCTAGGCCCTCGCAGCCCCGGCTTCATCCGGAAGCTCGTCCGAAGGCCATTGGGCTGTTTGGCCTAATTAGCATATTACGATTTTATTATTAGAGATGTCTCTCATTTTAAGGATCATGGTCTTTTGCTTGGGATACATGCTTAGGAATTAAATTGTCTGGCTTTTCAGCACATGGTGAGAATTGTGTCTCCTAAGGTTAGTGTTTGCTCCTGTAATTCAGGATCAGGCGCTGACCAGGCTGACCACGACTGGAGATGCCTGCGCTTAGATGGAAAGGGGCTGTGTTTCGGGCATAGAATGTGCATTGTTCTCTTTACTCTTTACTCCAAGCCTTGCTGTTGGCTGCACAGGCCTCTTTGTCTTTCAGGTTGTCATGTAGACCCCGGGCTTGATTTAGAGGCAGGAAGTCACTGTAGGCAGGAGAGCAGCCTGTGCGGTGGCGGTCAAGCTGTCTCTCTTATAATATTATTCCTCAGGACCCACACCTTCAGAAAGAGCTGACCTAGGTGCAGGACACCTCTTCCAAGTAACCGTTCCCCATGATCCTCTCACTGACACTGAAAACTGAACTGGAGCTCCTCTGTTTCTACTTTTCACCTAAGTCTGGAGTCAGAGCTTCACCTCCTGCATCAGAGGGCTGGGGTGTGGGGTCTTCTCTGCTCACCACTTCCTCCCTGCAGGATCTAGAAACACACACCCTTTCTCTGGGGCCTGAGCGCCTGTCCTCCTGCCCAGTGTTCCCTGTCTGAGCTCCAGAGTTCCATGGGGCTTGGACATGCTCACGGGCAGGGCTCGGCGGGAAGGGACTGAGGTCTCCCTGGGTGTGACCACTCACATTGGTAGGCCATGCTCATGGAGTGGACTGTGGACTCTGGGCTTGGTTGTTACTGCGGCGGCGGGAGTCCATCCATGCCCAGCTTGTGCTATGAGGTTCCTTGCTGAGCCAGGGTGTGAGGGCTCTTCACCGGGACTGGTTTGTGTACAGAAATGGAACCTGTGACCTTCCCCATCTCCACTTCCAACCCCATCAACTAACTGTGCTCACAGGGGGGTGGCTTCACGCCAAAGCACGTGACCACCCCTCACGGCCACCTACACAGCACACGCAAGTGCAACATGTGCCCTTCTAGCACCCTCAGTGCTCGCCCCGGGGGGGTTGCAGTGCGTGGTTTCCACCTCCACTTGAGGTCATCACAGTAGACTGCAGAGAGAACGAAGGATTCTTCCTTTTTCTCACTTCGTAGGTTAGATTTGCGTGTGATAATATTAAAAGCTCCAGAACAGAGTCTGTCCTGCAGGGACCCTCAATGGACGTGTCCAACTGGAACTCATTATTCCTACTGCTCCCCAGGCCACACATACACCTCACACAGCCTTGCCACCTCTTCCTTCCAGTACTTCCTAGTTGTCATTAACGTCAGCGCCAGCACTGCATACCAGGGATTTGAGAGGCTCTCCCTTTCTCCAAACCATAGCTTTATCAATCATTCCTCTCTCTTTTTATTTGTTTACTTTTTTACTACTATTATTGCTTTAGTTGAGGCATCCCCAGTTTCTTTCTTTGCCACTGCAATCACTTCCTGCTAGTCTCTGCTCTTTCTAGTTTATCATCCTCATCTGCTTCTAGAATTACCTTTTTTAAAACATAAATTTGATCACATGTGTTCCTTTCCTAGACTTCTTGGTACGGCTCCATTGCTTGTAAGAATCAGACCAAAATTCCAGAAGGTTCCTGCCTCCTAACACCACTGGCTGAGGCTCCTTTTCGAACGCCCCATGCAGAGGCCATTGCTGCTCTCAGGGAGGCCCAGGCTCCGGACACACTGGGCTCCGGTCCCAGCTGTTCTCTGGGCCTAGAACACCTTTCTTCTCTCTTTCAAGACTCAACTCAGATTACACCACTTTTGTCCAACCTGCCAACAGCTGTTAGGTCCACCCTCCCCACAAGGACCGCTGACACTCCTCCAGGCCCCACAGGCTCGGACTAGACTTCTCTCAAGCACTTAGCACAGCCCTTTGCACATAGTAGTTACAAGCCTGTCCCCGGGGCGAGGTTACAATCTCCTTGGAGAAACTGTTTGCCATTCCTGCGTTTCATATGGCCAGGTCCTAGCACAGAGTAAGGCTGTGAGTATCAGTTGAATGAATGACTAAAAATGAGTAAATGCATAATGTATATATGCAGTAATAAGATGTTGGGTTTGTAATTATTATGTTGAATAATAAAGATTAGAGCTGAGTTAAAACCAGACACATGCAATGAGGTCATTCTCAAACCAGAGCTTATTCCATGAACGATGAGTTGGGAGGCAAGCTCTGCTATCCTCAGTGCATTACAAGGAGGAGCAATTCTACTTTGTAGATAGAATAAACACATGAAATAACAAGTGAAACAATTTGTCTGTCAGAATCGAATTACTTTCAATACAACTTTAAATAAAATGTCTCAAATACGTGTCAGTGCACATAAGGCTTTTCCTGGTCCAAAGACGGGTCAGCAGGACCCACTCACCCTGCAGCTGTGCTGTTGTCTCCTGTGTCCGACCTCCACCAGGCAACCAGAGTGGAGGCCACAGGGGTGGGATTTCATCACCCACAGTATAGGGCAAGGGTATTCATGGACACATTCTTCTTTCTTATTGTTTTAACCATCCCAGCACCTATTTATGCCAATGACACCCTGACAAGAGGGCAGGCTCCGAGATTATGGGACTTCTCTGGTCTATAAACTTTTCGCAGCCTTAGAAGTCGTACACTAGAAGGTAGAGGGATGTTCCCATAATACAATCAGCTAAAAACAGCTGACATTTTATAGTGGTGCCAAAATGGGTTTGCTGCCTCTTTACCAAGAAAGCAGCATGGTCAGCTCTTTCCTTGTTTGGGACTCTGGTGGGCCTGAGCAAGGTCAGGCCAGAGTGGCAGCCGGCACGTAGTCCTGGGTGAGGCCAGGTGCCCTCTGGGGCCTTAGATGAGTTTTCACACTGGGGTTTCTCAAAAATGGATCTCCCAACTGTGTGGTCGGTGGCTGTCAAACTTTTGATCCACATTAAGAAACACATTTTCTGTCACAACCCAGTACACACACACACACACGCGCGCGCGCGCACATATAAGCACACACACACATACATGTACACAGATGGGTTCACGAGAAAATACTTTTACTAAGTGCTTTGTAGGTTGCTACTTACATTATCATTAACTAGTTGTGAAAAATTGGGCAGGTTACCTAACTTCTTTTAACCTCAAATTTTATCATATGTAAATTAGGGATATTAATACCTATCTCAGTATCTTTGCTAAAATTAAACGTAATTAACAAAAATTACCCAGTACTGTGCATTGCACAATAAACATATTTCTCCTCTTTATGAATAATATTTGAGTATATTTCTAAATGACTTGTGTCAGGTTTACCTAGGTTATAAAACATAGTCATTGCTGTTTTTATTTAAAATTTTATTTTTGTGAGGCAGTTTCACATGACAATAACTTGAATCCTGAAAAGTTAAGGTCAGTTAAGGGCTTTAAACTTCAGACTAATTTAAAGCATTGTAATTGTAGCTGTCTAAATGTGTGTTTTTCTGAATGTAAGTAGCTATTCTTTAAGTCAGTTATTAAAGGAACTGATATTATTTATTAACGAAATTGAATACTTATCAAGTGCGTTAGGGTACAGGGATCAAACAAGAAGGCACAAATTGAAATGTATAAAATAAAATACTATGTAAAGGAGGAAATCTAGTTTTTAAATAGAGCCTTTCCGATGCAATTCTATGGTGAGTCAGACTTAGAATAATAACTGCATTTGTGAAACATACCTCCAGGCCCAGGGTTCAAACACACACACACACAGACATACACACACACACACACACACACACACCAGCAAGCAGCACTTTCATGTGTGGTTTCCTCTGCAAGAATTTGATACAAGTTGCAACCAATCAGGGACCCCACCTTGGGCAGGAATAATGTTACCTGTGCTCAAAAGGTAGCTGAGTCTATAATTTGCATAATGCTTCATTGGAATCAAAAAACAAAAATAAAATTTGAAAATTATAATACAATGTAAAGTATAACTGGCTCTTAGGACATAAGCACTGCGTTTCGCTGTGCTCGTTATTATCTCTGACCTCAGGAAGAGTCCTGTAGCACTTGGCTATGTTCAAAGTGCTTTCACATTTGAAATTTGAATCTTCTAACAATCCAGAGAGTTTGGTAGATCAAACATTGTTATCATCTTCATTTCAAGATACAGACATTGCATTTCAGAACAGTTATATTATTTGGCTAAGACTTCTACAGCAAGGAAATTTTAAATCCAAAGCTGATGCTCTTTTAGCTGGTACACTTGTTACATTTTGCCATACAAGGTCCCCCAGAGACACACACTGCAGTAATCCTTGCCGTCTGTCCCCATTACCCTTAAATGAACGCACTACCTCCCCTCAGATGTGCCCTGGAGCATCTGAGCACATTTACCTGGGTTACCTTCTATAGTAGTTCCTCTGAGGATGCAGTTGGTTGACTGGAAGGTTTGGCAAAACATTAAGTCAAATGAGCATCAGAAAACATTAGCTCTAAGGCCTTACCTGGAAGGGACCACCACACCAGCAAGTTGCAAACTCTCCACCACATGCCGCGCTGGGTGCTGTCGCCCTGGCTTCCTTCAGAGCCTGAAGGCGAGGGCAGAGTGGTTTCTTTTGAAGGGGAGCGGCCGCGGCTCTGTGACCTCATGGGTCGCCCGCCTCCCGGGCCTGGAAGCCCCCGCTTAGCTCGCTGCCCCCAAACACCTCCTGCTGGAACATGCACAGGCCGCACATGTCACCTTGACTGTGGAGAAAAGAGTGATGTGTTGGTGGCACAGATGATTCTACTCCACGTGGGTAGTACTGGTGCGTCAACTAGTTGCAAGGCCTGGGAGGTGGGGGGTGGAGGTGTGGGAGAGATATCAAAAAGTCCCTGTGTGGTAATGTCACCTTATTGTCACAGTGCTTGTCTAGTTTATTAAACAATTATAATTAAATAAGTTGGGGATATTTTATATTTCTAATTCTGGCAACAATTTATAATGGTTATTAGGATCAGAATTCATTCATTCACATATTTGCTCATTTAAAAAATCTACCCATCCATCATCCGTCCATCCATCCATCCATCATCCATCCATCCCTTCATCTATGCAGCCACCTAGTATGCATTGTTTTAAGATATAATCAGATATGACAGATAAATCCTTGTTTTTAGGATATTGTGATCTAGTGGAGGTGACAATATATAAATGAATAATTTTGATATTTCATCCTCAATAATTGGACAAATTGAGATAGACTCAATTTCATTCTTCTAGAACACACAGCAACATACTAATAGATTTTATGTTTAGAAAATAGAGGCTAATCTGTAATATTTGAAAAATTATAAAGGAAATATTTTCTGGTTCTAATTGACATGAGTGTTAATATTCTGTAAATGTGTCAAGAGCTTGGGTAGGGAAAATTCTATCCATCAAAAATGTCTTTCAAATGTGTTACCTATTCAACAGGTAGAAAGAATAAAAAGAGGAGAGAGAATTGACCTTCCTTAAGAAGTAAGCACAAATCTAATATGTCTCAAGCAGTATGGCGACATGAATGCCTAGGGCCATCAGCTGAAATGCAGATGGATAGGGTCAGCCCAGCTTGATTAATCAGACTCCCACTTGAATGAGGATCCTCCTGTGTCTGCCAAGCTCTCCAGGTGTGTCCGGGAGTCTGGCAGCGCTGACTGTGAGAGTGGAGCAGAAACCCAGGGAGTGGGCGCTGCTATCAGCCGGTGGGTGGGGCCGTAGAAGGTTCTCCTGTTGGTTGACTGTATTGAAATATATTGACTTCCTTCTGGAAGCAGGGAGCATTGCATTGTACCATTTTAAAAAACAAAGAATTAAGGCCATGCTGGTGTGGCTCAGTGGCTGAGTGTCAACCTATGAACCGAGAGATCACTGGTTTGATTCCTGGTCAGGGCACATGCCTGGTTGTGGGCTGGATCCCTGGTAGGGGGCATGCAGGAGAGAGCCGATCAATGATTCTCTCTCATCATTGATGTCTGTCTGTCTCTCCCTCTCCCTCCCGCTTTCTCTAAAAATAATTTTAAAAATTCTAAATAAAGAATTAAGGAGTTTGCCTGAGGTGACACAGTGACTCAGTAGCAGAACTGAGACACTTTTGAGCCTTTGGCCTGATAATTATTTTTCTTCATAAGGTTCCCTCCATGGACTCCAGTTTTTATAGTTCAGGCTCCATGGGTGTCTAAGCATTTGACTTTCCTGCGGGCCAAGGTAGAGGTAGTTAGAGGCCAAGAGGAGAGGGCATTGCTTTCGAGTGAGGCTTTATTGTTATACCCTGTCGCCTACCCTCTTAAGAAAGCCCCAGAAAAGTACACAGAAAGTTCATGGAGGTGAGAACCGACCAGGGCCAGTGCCCAGCTCCTCACTTTCCCCCTAGAGGAGTGCTGTTCGGTGTGGGGTGTTCGGACTTTCCCAGGCAAAGCCCAGGCGGGCCACCCGCGGCGCTGTCCGTGTCCGGGAAGTCCTGGACGCAGCAGCACACGCTGTGGCTGATTTTTCAGACCTTGAGCTTATCATGTAATTGAGTCCATGAGGAGGTAAAAAAATCACTTTTACATGAAGCAAAGTTAAAATGCCATCATAGGACTTTTCATTAAAACCTGTGAGGGGGCGGGGGTGGAGTAGGTGGAGTTTCACCAATTTTGAACTAAATTCAGGCAAGGGGCTTGCAAAAGGTTCACTTCATTTCTCTATTGTCCAATTGTGGTTTTCTGTTGAGTGAAAAAATGTACAGAAACATAGGTGAAAACAAGGAATACAGGACTCAGGTGACCAGAGAATGAAATAGTCTGAGACTGAAACTTAAATGTACAGTGTAATCCATCCCAAATGTATTGATTTAATATAGTTTCAGTGCAATACCTGTGAATGGACTCACATGACATTTACCAGGTGTTCATCTAACTGCAAACAGGTGGACTTTCTCTTCACTTTCCATTTTAAAGCTCCATTTTGATATTCTTCTTCTAGTCCAAACTCCCAGTGGTTTCCTTTTGCATGAAGGACATAGTCCAAACTCTCTAGCCCAGTGATGGCGAACCTATTGAGCTCAGCGTGTAACTCTGGTGCCGTGTCACATATAAAAATTTTTTGATATTTGCAACCATAGTAAAACACTTATATTTTTTATATTTATTTTATATATTTAAATACCATTTAACAAAGAAAAATCACCCCAAAAAATGAGTTCGCGTGTCACCTATGACCGCCATCACTGTTCTAGCCAATCATTCAAGGCCACCGGCCCTGGCCACAATCTCCCTGCAGTCCCTTTTCTGCACTCCCCAATGTACACCCATAGGAAACTCATGCTATATTTCAAGCATAGTTGTAGGCACACTGGGTCATAATTCCCACTGTCCTCTCTGCCAAAAGCGGCCTCTCTTCTGGGGAGACTATTCACCCTCCAGCCCAGGTCTAGTGGGGCGCTTCTCAGAGCGCAGTGGTGACCAGTGGCTAAGAACATGATTCCTAACCACAGCTTAGCTTTCTCACCTGGGAAACAGGTGTCATGACAGCACCCAGACATGGCTGTGGGGAGAACTGAAGATGTTAATATACTTTAGTGCCCGGCACATAGTAAACACTGCATGGGTTAGCTCTGACCCTCCTCTCTACTCCCAGAAAAAATTCCCTACTTTTCTTTGCCCTGTGATCGTTTCTCTCTTTATATTAGACCAGTTTTATTTTGATTTGCATTAGATTTAGTTGAATACACATCTGTCTCCCTTGCTAGACTCTGAGCTCCCTGGAAGCAGTTTGCTTCTTACTTACCTGAGTGTCCCTGAGGCCTGGCATGTCCCTTTCATAAGATAGCTGTTTTTAAAATGCTTGTATTGACATATAACTTATGTAATGGGCTGTCCATATTTGAATTGTGCGATTGGGTAAGTTTTGACATATGCATACACCTATCAAGAGCCCCATCCCCCGCCTTTTTAATCCTCTCTGGCCCTCCCCACATCCCCTCTTAAAACAATCCCCATCTGCTTTCTGGACTAAGGCTGGCTTTAACTCTGGAGGTGTTGTGTGGACGGACTCCCACAGTGAGCATCCCTGGCCTGGCTGCCTCGCTCAGCATCATTATTCCAGGCTCATCTATGCGGAGCATGTGCAGGTCCCTCTTTACTGCTGGGTCAGGGCTCGGTGTGGGAATGCGCCCCAGTTTGTTCACCTGTAGGTGGGCTTCTAGGCTGTTTGCAATAGTACAGTTTTTAATTCTTGCCTATTACATTGAAGCAATTGTAGGAAGACTTTAGATAAAGGAAAACTGTATTCTCCCACATTAGCTTTTCATAACGATCCCTTAAATCAGAGGGAAAGTTCAAGGAGAGCAGGAGTAGTTAAATCAGGTGACGCATGGTCCCTTGTTGGCACTTGGGGTGTACACTCGATGTGCCACCCAGACTGTCTCTTGATCTCCTGGTGGCTGGGCAGGTGAGACATGCCAGCTGGGCTCCTCTCTGAAAATTGCGTTCATTGGGAAAGAGCCATCTCACACAGGTGTCCCCTCCAGGGGCGTCGGGGATGGAGCTGAAGGCCCGCTCCTGGCCTCGAGGAGGGGCAGCACAGGGAAGGGCTCCAGCTCAGAGCTCCCGCCACGGTTTGGTGAGGCCTGTTGGGACTGCATTTCAGCTCAGCTCCTCCCAGCCTGGTCTCACTCCCTTCGTGGATATTGCCCCCGGAGCACTCTCCATACCCCTGCACACCTCCATGCAGCCTCGGACCCAGGCACCTGACCAGGGCACTGGGAACAGAGCGCGTGAAGGAGCGCATGAAGGGGCTTCTTATGGGAGATAGGGACACTGCTCGCTATGCTCTGAAACCTGAATGGGTGTTTGGCTTATCCTTCTCCCCAGGCATCACAGGGAATCTCACCACAGCCTTCCCTGGGCAAGAAGTATGTCTTTCACCCATGGCAGTGACGTTCAGCTTGTCAGAAAACTTGACAAATACCACAAGAGTTCACTGGACTCAGAGAATAAAAGTTGTTCATGGGGGAAACGCTGTGAGCCGGGCTGTGAATGACGCGCACTGTGGTTTCGCGGTCCCTCCCACTCTCTCAGACCCACTCTTCAGCCGCAGCGGCCGTGGGTGCTGCCTCGCAGGGTGGAGGGAAAGATGGGGGGCACAGTGGCCAACCAGTGACCTTTTCCTTCTTCCTGATGGGAAAATGTCTGCTGGCCACCTTGTATGGGGGAGGCCTGGCAGCGGACGGCTTTTGTCATGTTGGTCCCCGTGGCCTGAAGTTCACATGCCATGTTTCAGTGGTAATAGGGAGTTAACACTTGGTGGGTGGTGTCGTGGGGACAGATTTTAGACAAACAAAAAAAGTTCCTTTCTGTTTCCCATCATCACCTTGGTCAATGTAGATTATCTTGAGAAGAAACAAACAAACAGGAAAAGGAGACATTTATTTAGCAGGTGAAAGTTGGACTGTTTCAGGGGCCACAAAAAACAGGGGATTTCCCCTGGGTGGAAGTTACTGGGTTTCTGTTGCAATTATGAGAGAGGCCTCAACTTTCTTTTTGCC